TTTTCTGCTCCTTGGAAAAATATTATTCATGTGTTCTTTATGTACTAAAAACAGGGTGTATTTTCAAATGGTTTTCTTTCCATATGAATACTTATGAAACTTGATGTTAAAACTGAAAATGATCTTGGTAGTTGTTGGAACAGGTGACCTTATTTATTAAGTTCTTGTCATGATTAGGTGCCTGAAGTTATTCATGTACATCCTATGTAGGCACCTAAAAGTTGCTGAGTGTCTTGGGCCTGTTGGGCACTTAGCGTTTCCAAAAATCAGTTCATATATGTATGTGCCTAAATATGAATTTGGATGCCCTACTTTAGACTCCTGTTTATGAAATGTTTTTCTTTAGTTTCCAATACATTTGAAATTTAGCTGAAATTCAGAACACAAAGTATATTATGTATTATACGTGATGTGTTTTATAGGGAAGATGTTAGGTATAATTTCAGTAGTTGATTGTAAATATAAATTCCAAACTAATACGAAGTATTTAATGTACTGGACATTACCTTCCTTCAGTGGTTTTTCAATTTAAATTAAGTTATGACCAGTCACCACATTTGTTCTGGCCTTGATTACAAATCCATATAGAAAAAGAATTTAAATAGACTCTTCTTTCTTTATTGATTTTAATTTAAAATTTAATTCATTGAATGCAGTACAAAACTACAGATTTTAAGATTGATGATTTGAAATATACTGCCAAGAAATAGCTCTTAGTGTTTGTGGATTTGTTTTTAATTATTTCATGAATGGTATAGTCCTTTAAAGAAAAACTTTTAATGGGTACTGAAGTGTGTTGTTTCATGTCTTGTTTTAGCCTTGCCTTGCCATGCCATGCTTTGTTGTCCTGAGCAGATTTTTACAATTAAGTGACACCATTTCCTGTTATTTCCTTTCCACATGTGTATATCAGAAGGAACATCCACCAGAGTGGAGAAAAATGAGAGTGGCTATTATTTGTTGTACAAAGATGAAGAAGTGGGGGGGGGGAGTATGCTTTATTCATATAAGCCAGTCTTATATAGCAGACATTTGTTTTTATTTGTTTTTGTAAAAAGCACATCATAACAAAGTTTATGAAGTCCAGCATTTTATCAGTCTCTGCTACTCCTTCTCCTTTTCATCCACTCTTCTTTGCAGTTGAACCTCTGATTTACAAACCTATAAAGTTCACAAAAAAGTAATCCTTTTGCCCTTTCTAATGGCAGACTGCTAAAGTGAAATCTACATTTAAAAGGCTAGGGCTGGGAGTGAGTTCTCCAGGGTTTGGTGCCTTAATTTGCTCCAGACCTTTCCTGTTTGCATGGAAAGTCACTTAACCTACCTTTGCCTCACTGTAATAATGGGGAGTAGTGTCACTGGTTGAGAGATCATTGGTTGACAGAGTATGTAAGGGCAGTAATTTATTAATACTATTAAAATGTAAGTGATTGTTCAAAAATACTTCATAGTATGAATAAATCAAAACAAAGTTGAATTTGCCAAAATGAACTATTTGGAAATGTTATATAGTTGGTATTTAATATCATATGTGCCTAATTGCCAAATTTCTGAATGTCAGTGATCCACAGTAGGTCTTCTAATGATAAGTACTAGTATTTGATGTTCAACTAAAGATTTTTCTCATCATTCACTATTGAGTAACTTGGTGTAAACAAAAACTGTCCGACATCAGCCTTCTTCTCTTGCTTGGTTCATTAATATTACAATCCAGTCTTTGAAGCACTAAAGTTCATTTTCATTATAATATGCCTTGACATTGCAAGTGTTCCTTTTGTGCTTTCATCAGCTGAATGGGATGTTGATTTGAAAGCAAGGAGTGTAACATAGTGCCTGGATAGAGTTGAGGGGAATAGAAGCATTCATGTTTAACAATATAGGGGCAGGCTTCTCTTCTGCCTCCTTAGGTCCTCTGCTCTTTCTTTAGCTGGGACCCATGGGAGACTTGCTTGGCTGTTTGACTTTCAAATCACCCTCTCCCTTCAATATTTAATATGCCTCTCCTGGGTTTTCAAGAGCTTCTTGTCTCTGTTTACTGCCTGCCCTACTCTACCTCTTTAGCATTCAGTGTAGTAGCAGTGTTTTGAGGAGGGTTTGAGTCACTTATCTGATTTGGAATTAGGAAAGAATTTTCGATTTGGTCAGATTGATTGAAGTCTGGATTTTCTTTTCCACCTCCCTAACAATATCATGAAGACACAGTTGAAACAAAAATAACTTGAAAATTTAATCATATTGGAGGAGGTAAGGCTATAACTCGTGTCTAGTGTGGATAAAGGCCAAATATCTCCCAGAGAGATAAGGCATGAGTTTTACAAGTGGAACTTATTCCTGTAGAAGAAAAGGAGATCTGATGGCTTGTCAGCCTGAGAATTCCCCTTTGGCAAGCTCTACCCCTTCCTGAAGAGGATTTGGAAGTAACCTGGTTCTTGGGTATAGGCTCTGCAAGGTCTACTTTAAGTTTGTAGTTACTTAATAGGAGTACTGGACCAAGTTAAATGTCTGGTATGTGAGAACAGGTAGTGAGTATGTAACAACAGTGTTAAATTAATAAAGGTTGCAGCCTGCCTTCAAATTCATCCCTCTGTCTGATGTTCCTTAACCTGAATGTCCAGGTCAACCAGTTTGTAACATCATTGAAAGAAATGAGCAGGAAGAGTAGACTGTTACTAACAGTGTGCAGAGTCACTTGGATGGACTGGATATGTTCAAGTCAGCAGGCCTGGATGAGCTGCATCCGAGAGTACTAAAGGAATTGGCCGGTGTCATAGCAGAAACACTGACACAGCAGTGGTTCCCGTTTCAGGTCCTGAAGGACTGGAAAAGGGCCAATGTGGTCCCTATTTTCAAGGAGGGGAGGAAGGAGGATCCGAGTAATTATAGGCCAGTCAGTCTTGCCTCCATCCTTGGAAAGGTCTTTGAAAAAATAATGAAGGATCAGATCATATCTGTGGGAGTCCAGTGGGGAAAAATAATGCATCAGGGAACCCAGAATGGATTCGTAGCAGGTAGATCATCCCCGACCAATCTGGTTTCATTTTATGACAGGGTCACAAAATGCTTAGATGCAGGAATAGAGGTGGATGTCATTTTCTTGGATTTTAGCAAGGCCTTTGATATGGTATCTCATTCCATTCTTATAAATAAATTAAGAGGCTGTGGCATAGATGTTTACATGGTCAGGTGGGCGGCAAATTGGCTCAGCGGTTGCACCCAGAGAGTGGTAGTAGACAGGTCGGTATCAACCTGGAAAGATGTGGGTAGTGGGATCCCGCAGGGTTTGGTCCTTGGATCTGTACTCTTCAATATCTTCAGTGACTTGGATGTGGGTGTGAAGTGTACTCCATCCAAGTTTGTGGACAATACTAAATTGTGGGGTGAAGTGCACACTCTGGAGGGTAGGGAATGATTCCAGGCAGACTTGGACAGGTTAGAAAAGTGGGCAGTACACAATAGGATGCAGTACAACAAGGAAAAGAGAAGAGTGCTGCACCTAGGGTGCAAAAATATCCAGCACACCTACTGGCTGGGAAGTGACCGTCTCAGCAGCATAGAAGCGGAAAGGGATCTTGGAGTCCTAGTGGACTCCAAGATGAACATGAGTCATCAGTGTGATGAAACCATCAGCAAAGCTAACTGCACTTTATCATGCATCAGCAGATGCATGAAAAATACTTCCAAGGAGATGATACACTTCCCCTCTATGTGGCATTTGTCAGACCGCAGTTGGAGTGCTGTGTCCAGTTTTGGGTGCCGTACTCCAAGAAGGATGTTGATAGACTCGAGAGGGTCCAGAGGAGGGCCACTCATATGGTTAGGAGTTTACAGAACAAGCCCTATGAGGAGAGACTCAGGGACCTGGACCTCTTTAGCTTCCGCAAGAGAAGACTGAGATGTGATCTTGTGGCCGCCTACCAATTCATTAGGGGGACACAGCAAGGAATCAGCGATGCTCTGTTCACCAGGGCGCCTCTTGGGGTAACAAGAACAGTGGTTACAAACTGACAGAGAGCAGATTTAGGCTAGATGTCAGGAAAAACTTCTTCATGGTAAGGGTGGCCAAAATTTGGAATGGGCTTCCAAGGAAGGTGGTGCTCTCTCCTACCGTGGGGGTCTTTAAGAGAAGGCTGGATAGGCATCTGGCTGGGTTGATCTGACCCCAGCATTCTTTCCTGCCTAGGCAGGGGTTTGGACTCGATGATCTGTTAAGGACCCTTCTGACCCTAGCATCTGTGAATCTATGAATGATGATAGTGAATATTTAAATAACACTTCTGTAAAATAAAGCAAAAAGAAAAAGAAAAAATCAAAGGACTTCACATTTTTACATATGGGGAAAGTGAAAGGCAGAATAGTAAACCGACTTGTCTGAGGTCAAACAGAATGCTTTTAGAGGGGCTAGGAATGAATTGGTGTGAATAGTGTGAATTAAACCCTGACTCTTTAAAATGAGTCTTTAAAATTTCATCTTTAAAATGAAAATATTGCCATTTCCTAGTTGACTTATTACAAGACTTGTTTTCTGCTGACACGGCACTGTTACCTCATTAGAAGCCCTGTGGTTCAAATTGTCAGTGCTGTCAATGACCAGTTTTGGTATGATGCATCTTTGTCTAGCTGTTGAGCGTCAGTAAAGGAACTAAGTATGCTCCTGCCTCCATAACCTCCAAACTCTATATAAATAATGTTATTAAATAATTAGGATATCTCTTTAACAAAGCCTTCTGAGAGGGTAGGAATGTATTCAGTAGGTAGGCCCAGATTACAGTTGAAGTATTTACATCAATTTTATAGTAAAAATATGGCAAAAAATAGAATCTGAAGATCAGAAAGACTAATATCTATTGAAGAAAATTTGTTTTTATTCAGATACATCAGTAACTAGCAACAATAGGAAAAGAATCTAGAGAAATATGCAGTTATGAGTCTGCTGTACAAGGACGTTTCCTGTCCTTGTTTTAATTAAAACAGATCTGACTTTTTTACTTTTGCCTTACTAGGTTTCTTCCCAAGCAGCTCTCAAGGATGTGATGCTTTCCTTCGCCACAAAATGACATTGATTTCCCCCTCAATATTGAAAAAATATGGAATTCCTTTTGACAAGGTATGTTAGAATTTATTTTAAAATGGTGCGTTTGTGCATAAAGTCAAAGTATGTATAGCTGTAGTAGTAGCCAACTGTTGATCCTTCTGGATCATGGTGTGTGCATGAGAGGTTTAGGCAGGAATATGGAGGAGTGGGGCCTGCCCAGACCTTCCATCCCCGCTTTAGACTGTTGAGACAGTCAAAGATAAGCTTTTTACAATCTGACCTTTTCTGAAGTTTAATAGTATATAGTTTAATATATTTTTATATTTGATAAGTACAAATATATTAAGGGTTGTTACCACTCTATTTATTTGAATTTTGAGCACTTTTAAGTAGTTATATTAGATTATGTTGTATGGACATACATTTTTTTTCCAACTAAACCTTTCTATTGCCACACTTGTGTCACTTTATCTTAATATAGAACAATGTAACATTGTGGATAATATGGAACAAGTTTCAGATGAAAATACAGAATGGATTGAAACTTTCAGTTTTCTAATTAAAAATGTGAATGCATTTTACCAGGTGTATTGATAAACACAAACAAAAATGCTCTTTCTGAATAATCGTTTGTACAAAATGCAGTGCACATAGGGTTCTTTTGTTTTGTTCTGGTAGGTAGTAACTGACTCGGAGTGACTGCTTAACTATGACCATTTCACATGTTGTAGAAGAATGGAAAAAGCTTAAAATAGCAGTAGTGGAAAAGGATTCAATACTTAACTGTTTGCAAAAGCATTTAAAGTACTCCACATCTTCCCCACATTATTTTTCATATCATAAACCTAACTGTTCCCCAAAAGCTTTTTCACTTGTGACTAAGTCTGTACTCCATGTGGGGGCCAAGTAGTTGAAGTGCTCTTGACCTTTTTCTTAAAGCAGTGTCATGCTAAGCCAAAAACTGTTCAGCAGCTCCCAGGTGTAGGTGTATTGTATATCAGCCCTTGATCAACTTGTGTTATGCTGAGATTTAGAAACCTTCTGATTGCTACATAGTTATGATTATGGAGGAGCTAGATAATAAGCTTATGTATTTTTCATGCACACCTCATTTGCAAAATAAACCCATTAGAAATAAAGATAATTAATTTCTTGGTTAGTACTGAGGTCTCTATTTTCATATAGGTGAAGTATTTATTTATAGGTAGCTGGAGGATCTCTATATAAACTCAGTTTTTCATTCTCATACTCTAGAATATATTACAATATAGGGCCTTCCATCTTTTCTTCCAATTTAGATTTGTGATATATTAAGACATGTACTAAGGAAAAGCAATATTTTACTTGAAACTTATTCCCCTGTTTGTCTTGGAAGCCATGTTATATTCTGTATTGTCAAGCCTAATTTGTGCTACCTTCTCTAGCAGTGATGTAATTGAAGAGATAATACATTTTTCAATTGACTTATGGCATAAATTATCAACAGTTTAATATCATTTTGAACATTCTTGGAAGATGCATTTTGAAGTCGATTGAAAGTTGTTTTATTGTGCTATTTTTGTGCCAACTGTATTTTTATAATTGTCTGATTCAGCCTTTCTCCTTCCTTCTCCTTTCCCCTGTGCACAAAGAAAGAGAGGTTAAGTGCCAGGGCTGGCTATCTGCCATGCAAGACCTGATGCACCTCAAGTATCAGCAGAGCCTTGAATGGTGTTTTGTTTATATATCCAAAAAACCTGAGATGCTCATCAACGAAGAGATGTCCAGAAAAGATTTAACATGACAATAGGAGAGCAGGCTGGAAAAAAGCAGCCTGGCAGTTCCTGAGGAGAAGATTTTGTGGACTGGGAGAAGTGGAGAAGTGTTGGGGACCTGGAGAGACTGGAAAGGGAACAGTTTAATATCTCTGGGGGTAGTCAGGTCTGTTGGCTTGATTGGGGTTGGAGCCCAGATAGGGTTAATCTCAAAGGAGGATTCACTCCCTTTGGAGGGGATAGTGAACTTCCCTGGATGGCCTTTGCCCCAGTCAGTGCCTTTACTGAACAGACTGTCTGGGGTGTTGCTTTGAACTGTGGGTTGCACTGGATCACCCAAAGTGAAGATGAAGTCCATCTCTCAGGAGCTGAACTGTATGTTAGCTTCTTGAGTCAGGACCACAGAAAACTATGAAAGGTGAAAGACTAAAAGACTGGGATCTTAAGGCCTTGTTGTATGTTACACACCGTGTTAACCGCACATAAAATGCTAGTGTTCAAGCATTAAAACGTGCTAAGTGCAATCCAAGGTTAACATAATTAAGACTTTTCCAGTGAGGAGTATCTCCAGGTCATATTAACTCACACAGGTTGATACAATGCCTGACTTCTCCAGAGATGGTACTATCAGGGCATTGTGGTGTAGTGGGGGGCTGAACATGACAAAGTGGAGCATGTTCAAGGCTCCTGTGTTGGGGGTTGGGAATGAGAAACAGCTGTTTGTCACTTCCAGCCCCTATACCCTGCTGGAGCTGTAAACTGCTTCCCATGCAGGGCAGGGGGGGTCTGGCTCCAGTGCAATGGAGTAGCTGGGAGTGACAAACAGCTGTTGGTTACTCCCAGCCCTTGCAGCATCTTCAAGGGCTATGCTGCTTTGGATATGTTTGGTTTTTTTTAGACCACTTCATGCCAAGCGGGAGCTTCGCGGACTGGCGCTTCCTCCACCGCGCCCGCCTCAACTGCCTGCCTCTCAACGGGGCCGTCCACTTCGGCCCCCGGG